GGCTTTCACGGATTTTCGCAGATTTTCTCATCTCGTTTATGTCGTCACGGAATTGAACGGTTTTTGACGGATTTTCTCGTCCCGTCTCTCTCATCACGGATTTGGACGGGTTTTGGCGGAAGTGCTGGGGCATGGAGAAGCAGAAGTACAGCGCCAGCGCTCCACAGCCATCAACTGGCAAGGGAGCATATATGATGCAGGGAGGAGGCGCACTTTCCTGCCCAGCCACATGAACTTCATTCTCTTTTGCCCGAAAAAATGTATACGGAAAGGGTTCTTTTCTAGTCTGGTACTCATGCTTGTGCAGAGTGAACGCGAGCATTGGCGCGTTACTGAAAAAGAATAGATACGGATAGTCAAACTGCTCTGATATGTTTCTCGAACATTGATTTTCTTAGCCACTATCATCTTTCAAGTTGTTAGCTCATGAGAGGCTTGAGCCAAGTCGGTAAATACGTTCCCTTTATTGTTGCAGTTAAGCACAGTTGAGCTTAATTATTTGAAAGGTTCCGGTTAACTAAAAATCTGTCAAGGTTAAAAATAAAAGTAGTTGAGGTTAAGTGCAGGTCCCCTCAGGTGGCTCACAAACGTATGCACCGTTGGAATAGCACCTTCCTCTTCTGCACTTGACCCCCGTTCACAGAAGGATGCACCGTTGGAATGGCACCTGCCTCGTCTAAATTTTACCATCGGGTGGCTCACAAGAGGTATGCGCCGTTGGAATGGCACCTTCCGCCTCTGAATTTTACCCTCGGGTGGTTCACAAAAGGTATGTGCCGTTGGACTGGCACCTTCCTCCTCTAAACTTTATGGGCAGCTTTGGAAGCTGCCGGCTTGCAGCAACGCCAGCTCGTTAGACCCTGGCCGCTGCAGCCCAGCTTTGGAAGCTGGCCACTGTGGGTCTTTACTGCAACCAGCGTAGCATTGGAAGCTGGCCGCTTGCAGCAACATACGCTCGGTAGACCCCGGCCACTGCAAGCAAAGCAGCTTTAGAAGCTGGCCACTGTGGGTCTTTACTGCAACCAGGCAGCAGCACAGGTTCTTTACTGCAAGCAGGGCAGTAAACAAAGCTGGCCACTTGCAGCAGCACTTGCAGCACTTCAAGCTGCCCATTTGCAATTGCAAAAGCGGAAGCAAAAGCAAGAGCAAGTGCAAAAGCAGCAGCAAAAGCCGAAGCAAAAGCAGGAGCAAAGGCAAGAGCGGAAGCAAAAGCAGAAAGCAAAAGCAAAAGCGGAAACAAAAAGCAAAAGCAAAAGGAGAAGCAAAAGCAGCAGCAAAAGCTGAAGCAGAAGCAGGAGCAAAGGCAAGAGCAGAAGCAAAAGCAGAAAGCAAAAGCGGAAACAAAAAGCAAAAGCAAAAGGAGAAGCAAATGCAGAAGCAAAAGCAGAAAAACGCGAAAACAATTTCCGGAAAAAATCCGAAGAACAATCCCAAAGAAATACCGGTTCCCACCGCAAAACCACCCGCGAACCGAGGAGCATGCCAAGCTCAGCAGTCAACGCGTTGATGCCGTCAGAAACGAGGCACAAAACACTATGGGGAGTGATCCGCCCCCAAAAAACGACTGCCAAATTGGATTGCGTTTGGTATAGCGAACTAATTCTAGATCATCCATCCCTCACGACGGTACATTAAGAGGCACCTTGCCTGCCACAATCTCAAACATAAGTCTCAATATTCAATAGACGAAGGATGACGAAGTCAGATGATGCAGGCTTCGCAAAGCCCAGAGCTAGTCATGCAGCTCTTTTCGTGTCATCCCGAGATCGTGGAAGCAGTCATTTGAGAGCAGAACTTTCCAGGTGACAACCTGAACTGCTCCGATTTTTCGATGTGAGGTGGCCGGTGGCTGGCAGATCGGGTTGAAGGAGTGATGGAGCATGTTGGCACTTCATGCAGAACTGCAACATGCATCTCGACGTTTTGTATGGCAATCTGACAGGTTTTGAGTCAGTCAAGTCAGGAAGTCAAGCGGGGCAAGTCTTTGCCCAATGGATCCTTGCCACCGACTCCGCCGCAAAAGGATCAAAAGGGATCAAAGCGGGGCCAAAAAGGGTCTCAAGAAAGGCGGGCCAAGAAGGCAGTGTCAGGGCGCACCAAAGTGAATGCAGCGTTGACAACTTGAGCATGGCCCACGTAGCAAAAACCGTGCACATTCAATCCCGATGTGTCTCCAATCCAGTACGACCTCCTCAACAATCACCTAAATCAATCCTAAATTGCAGTTGCGGGTAAGATAAGAGATGAACGCACATGTAGCTACAGTACAAAGGACGCTGGCATGCTCAGAAAGGTGGCAATCTCATTGGGATGCAACTGGCACGGCAATTGCGTGGGGTCACTGTCGCAAACAAAGAATGCCTGTAACACCTGTAGCCTCTTTTGGCGAAAAGTTTGAGTAGAAACGCCACTTGAGAAAAGGGGCCAGCACCCGAACTGAGACCCATATGCATGCAAAACGACCGTGCAAACATCTGAAGTTCTGAAGAATCCAAGAGGCACGACCGTCAGGCCCAAATCTGCCCAAAAGGCACTGCTGTTCAGGCTGCGTGAGATGAAAGGCCGCACTGTCCCAGAAACGGAAGCACTTGTTGGAATGCTACTAGTAACAAAGGGCATCGCTACTAGTAGCAAGGGCACTACTAGTAGCTCCTGGCATTACTACTGGTAACAAGAAGCTAACCAGGGCATCGCGACTAGTAACAAGGGCATGACTACTAGTAGATGGTTGGGAACAAGTTCATCCCATCGCTTCACGAGATAGGAAGACCGGCACGGGAAGTGCATCACCGTGAGGGCTCAAAAAGCAGTTTGACGGGAGCAAGGACGCTACTAGGAGCAACCCAGGCGACCTTGATCGACTAGCGCGCTGTCCAAGCATGCAAGACACGAGCACTATGAACGAAGAGAAGCACATCCCACTGCGCCGGTCCCAGTGCAAAGTTCCAACGCCGTAGCTAAACTCTGGCACAAGCAAGTTTGATTGGCAAAGACGTCCCCAAAAGAAAGGCAAGCGGGTTGTCAGCGACTACCTTGGCTTGATAGGTGATGAACACGTCAGGAACCCCCATGTGTTGCCTGCATCAAAAGCCCTCTTTTGAGCACCATGGAGATGCGGCCATCAAGCCCCCCGGCTGAAAGCTGGAGGCCTCCAACCTACTAGCAATGGCCTCCAACCTGACCTAATAGCACTGGCCTCCAACCTAATGGCAAGGTAAAAGGCTTGCAAAACACTTGTGGAGATAAGGGTGGCTGGATGTGGCTGGCCTCGAATGCGTAAGTCAAGACTTCCACAAAAAAGACTGAGAAATCATCCAGGCTGAGCCTGTGACGTATCCAAAGAGATTCCGTCAATCACTACGACAACACAGCTTAACACATCAAACTCCACCGCGCCAAACATGGCAACACGATACCTGCTCACTTTGCACATCCCCACAGCAGAAACACCTCAAATCCTATAGTTTTATTTCTTCTTGGGAAACTTCAAGAAGCTTCTACTCGCGCACTTCCTGCGAGGTGCATGTTTCTACATGTTTACATTCAACACGTGCTGCATACCTAGGGTGCGGAGCAATACCCTCCATGTTTCCAAGCTGGAACAACCGCTCGCAGCCTTCAATGCCCTGCAAACGCTCGCATCCCAGTAGCTTCTTGTTACTACTAGTAAGGCACTTGTTACTACTAGCGATGCACTTGTTCCTAGTAGCTGCTTGCTCCTAGCACGCGACAAAAACTCCGCTAAGTCCGAGATGCATTGAGCGTCCAGGAGCATATAGTGTTTGCGACCAGTCTCCATGATGACTTTGCTCATATCCTGTGCTGTCGCAGTGCCCAGCGCCGTGGGAAGTCTAACCAAAAACAACCAGCAAGCACCATAGGCAACAGGTTACCACAGTGCGTTTCGCGGCAACCTATGATCATCGTGCTGAGGAACGCCTCATGAATTCTCTTGGATCCGGGGTGGGGGGCCAGCTCAAGTCGAGTTGGTACAGCAAATGCACAAAAAGTGGAGTGCAGTGGCATGTGCACATGGATGACACGGCAGCAGGCAGCAAGAGTCGGATGATGAGTCAAAATGGATTACTAAACACCCTAAGCCTAAACCCTAAACATCCCTAAACCCTAAGCCTCCAACCGACCTAAAAGCGATGGGTAGCGATGACCTCCACCCTAGTAATTAGGGATGGCCTCCAAGCAAGTAGCGGCAAGAGTCGCATGAGTTTAAGTCCAAATGGATTACTAAATACAATTGACAGGTGCCTGATCAAGGGTCCCATGACTCTGACTGGATGGGGAGACCTGTTGGTTTCTACCAGACGTCCAGTGGCGCTGCATGCCTTGTTCCCGTGCAATTCTATTCTTAAGTTCTTTAAAACCAATTCATTAGTGCGAGTGCTTCTTCAAGGAAGCTTCGGTAGTAGCTACTTGTAGGTGCTAGCTACGGCCTACCCCCCCCTTAAAAATGAAGATAAAAAACAAAATTACCGGATTTCATCCTGGTTCAAGACCGCCACAATGCTGTTCATCTCCTCTTTCGCATCACCAGGCCTCCGTTCGACGCACCAGGACGGCAAGGAAATAACGCACCACCCGGTTGCTTAATCGAAGGCCCCTCGCTCGAGTCGCCAGAGCCTCTAATAAGAACAGAATATAAAACACTGGTCTTGGCACTTTGTTCGTCTGCCCATCTTGGTTCGTCTCTGCTTGGATTCTCTCCCCTCCCTCGCGAAACAACTCACCCGCTCACCCTCCCTATTTCATATTTCCTCGCCCAGTCGCAGCAAAGAATTGGAGAGCTCTATCATTCGATTCAGGCAGCACTTTAAGGATTCCTCTGCCTTAGTGGGCGGCCAAGGCCGGTATGCACCGATTCGCACCGATCTTCAGATGCTGAAGAAGCTGCTGTCTGGACATCCCTGAGGCTCTCATTCACAGGGCCTTCAGTAAAGTGTCCTAAAAGCATCGAACAGGGACGCTCACAGGCTGCTTCAATTGAATTGAACGTCAAGACATGCAAAAGCCCATGAACGCTGGAAAGCACAGACTCCTGCAAACACTGCCAAAGGGGTGCTTAAATGCAAAGGAACCTCGGACACATGAGTAGCCACATCACAAGGCCCAAAGAATGCGCACGCAAAGGATTAAAACACACACAAATACCATAAAATACCTATTACGGATGGCCTCCAACTGACTATAGCGATCGATCAACACATTTGGCCCCACGTGACACGACTGTTCTTGGCTGGCCGAGCGGCCTTGGGGTCGGTGGCCTTGTCGGTGACCAAAAGCAGTGACCGTTGAACAGCCTGGAAGCTTTCCAACTGTTCCATGCAGGCCGCCAATTGCTCTTGATGCGCCAGAAGCACCTCTTCTGAACAGGAATCAAGGGGATCAAATGGGTTGGCATGGCCCGCACCATTGCCATGCTGCACTCCCAGAGAGTCGAAAGGACTTGCATGGCCTATCTAGCAAGAAGCTAGTAACAAGGGTGTCGCTACGTTCGTAACAAGGGCATTACTACTAGAAGCAAGGAACTACTAGGTTGGAGGCCGCTCTTAGGACTCGCCTGGCCTGCTGTCGCTTCAGAAATTCTTGGGTTAAGCGTTTCTGCTCCTCTCTGTGCGGCCGGTGCAGCTCCTCCAGCTCCAGCACACGTCGCCTCGCACGTTTCGGAAAACACAGCAGGAAATCCATCAGACCCTGAAAACATATCGAACATACGAGCGGACTGTTCGCGTCAGCTACACGGTTGTGGGAATCAAAAAGATCAGATTCCCCCGGCCGAAAAAAACATAAGGTATGCGGGAGCTTAGCATTCTCAAACGGAATCCGAGCTGGACGCCTACGTGAAGTCCCTGAGTGGCATTTTGCCATGCTTCACCACCACTGGAGATGAACAACTGTTGCCAAAGTACCACTGGCCAAGAACCCTTTAGTTGGGTGGGAGGTCATCGCTTCTAGGTTGGAGGCCATTGCTATTAGACAAGGAATTGCTACTAGAAATCCTTTTAAAATTTTCCAACTCACCACGGAGCAATCTCAAAAACTCGCAATTCACTGCTGAACTTAGACTTTCCTTGGCGAAGTGCCACAGCTATCTCGCAACTCAGCTGACCTAAGAGGCCTATTTGCACAGCTTGTGCGTTGGAATTACGGGGTGTGCGTGAAACATGGCGGCGCTGGTCAAAGCAGTCTATCTACATTTTGGTCCAAAGGCCCGCCATAGGCTATGAACATTGGCAACTTTTTGTGAGAATGTCAAATGTAAAACATGTAGATATGATATGTACATTTCATGTTAATAATCTGCCCAAACATGCATCCACATTCACTGTAAATCATGCCCCATGTGTATCCAAATCTTCCTCAAGACTGAGCTGCAGGGCCTCAGATCGCTGGCTTCTTGCTGTGCCTTGTCGCGCTCCTCATGTGCAGCCCTCGGCGACTGTGGTGTCAAGCAACCACCCCAGCATTGAAGCCAGTGTCATGCTGAAAAACGTTTTTGAGCAATCTGTTCTTGTTTCCCTCCAATACACTTGCCGTCTTCCAAGCACTTCTGGTGCAGCAAAGTGAAACAAATCCTAACAGCTCGATCACACGCTTGGCCGGATGATGTCGTCGGAATACTCTGGATGCACTTGGCCGGGTGTTTTTTTACACTTTGCTTGTTTTGATTGGTTTATGAGATGAGGGCACCTGCAAAAGCCACAAGGCCACGCGCGCAGTCGAAGACTGTGACTTCCACTACAGTGGTGTAAAATGGTGTAAGCTTTCTGTTTAAGCAGCCGCCTTTAAACCTTCACTAGATGGCAGCAAACAACCCAAAAAAATCCACTTGTCTCCCTGCTTGTCTCCTTGATTGGACCCTCTTTAACGGATGATTTCACCCTTGTCTGTCTCCCACTTGTCTTTGTGCTTGGAGACTCTTGGCCGGACTTGTCTTCCACTAGTCCCCTTGCTTGTCTCCCGCTGGTCTCGGCCAACTCTGGTTACACTTGGCCGGATTTTCTTACATTTGTGTTCATTTGTCTCTTTGCTTGTCTCCCTGTTTACATACCTTCGGCCGGATGATTGTACATTGCCTCCAGCTTGCCTATGGTTGGGTTAATGGCTGCTTTCTTACGGACTGTCTTGGCGACCCAAACTGGCCCGAACCTTCGGGGCCCCAGCCTTGGGAACTTGCGGGAAAATCAATATACCAGAGGTTCTCGTAGTATTAGTATAGCACTGTCGTGTAGTTGCGATAGTCATAGCAGAATTTGTCATTATTAAAGAAAAATATATTGATTTTCTGGTATTCAAATGTGAAAGGTAGTGTAGTGGTAGTTGTCGTAGTGGCGGTGGGACATGCCATGTAGACATCGCGGCGCCCTGCAGCGGCACCAGAACCCAGCCGTCATCAACATCTGGCAGCAGCACCCTGCTGCGGCACCAGCACACTACACAAGCTCCAAAGCGCACATTGCCATCCACACTTGGCAGCCAGCATTTAGGCCCCAGAGCGCACACAAGCACCTCTTCCTACTCCTCTTTCTGTACTTGAAGTAAGGACCCCGATAGCTCTCGCTATCTGGGGAACTTTGAAAGAGATACTTGAATACAAATATAGAGCCTTCACTTGGTTCTTGGTCATTGCTTGAGCATACCTTATGATATCTTGCAATTGCGGTCACTGGCCTTTTCTTGGCGTATTGCACAGGCATGCCACAAACGGCCCCCATGTCAGCAATAAAGGAAACATCTTTTAAACAAGCAAAGCATAATATAGCCACATGTCAGTACAACTCAGCACATTCAGTAGATTAGCATATGCTCTTTTTGATTGTCTAAATTGAGTGCGAACGGATGGAAAGGTGTGCCCTGGCCCCGTTCTAGCTCTTAGGTCAACATGAAGCTCGCGCGCTAAAGCTCCTTTTTACCTGGTTGGGCACTTGAGCCAAAAGTATATGGCATGTACCTGTATAGCGACTATACTGGGACCCCATCCCTATTGACACCCCCCACATCCGTACTTCGACGGGGAAGGGAGATGAGTGGATGTAAAAACCGGAGAACGAATCACGTTCTCAAAAGTGCATTGGAGGTCAACCAGTATGTCCTATTGAATTGAATTAGCAAAATATCTTGCATTCGCTTGAAATTTGGATCAAACAGGCAATGGAGCTACAAGCGGAAAACATGCACCTACCTATGGTATCATGCGATTACCAATGGTGTGATACGTAATCCTATCTCGCTCCCATGATGCCAAAACGGTCATCATGAATTACCCGAGATCCCTCAGTACATGAAGTACCGGAAGTGGCATGTCGGCATGACCCCAATGCTCAACCATTCGTGAGTTGCCGCATGTAGTCAGCGCCGACAAAGCCAATGTAGTCCTTGATGAGCTCAACGTTCCTTGGGTTTCCCGCTCGGATCTGTTCCTCGAAGAGCTTCAATTTCCTTTCCTGGACATCGGATACCTCTATGCCATAGTAGCGGCATGCAACTAGGATCTCCTTCGTGACATTCTTCCTCTCCGACTTGATGGCAGGACTAATGTCGATGAATTTGTATGGAGCGGCACTTTCGTCATCTGGTTTCTGGTAGTAACTATATCGGCTCGCTCCGAAGGTCTTCTTGATCAAGCGTCTGATGAAATTTGAGATGAATGCCAATTTCTCGATGATCTCGTCCTGGGTCTCAGACTTTCGAGCCTTTGGATCACTCATGCTACGCTGAGTGCTGCCGACCTCTTTGAGGTACTTGTGGCTAAGCCCGCAGCGGATTGCAGTGATCATCATCGGATGAACAACGTGGGCGTGGAATTCATAGATCTGCCACGCTTCTGCTGCAAACGCGTCGTTGGTCCATCTGCTCATGCCTACGACCTCGGCTCTCTGGAGACGTCTTGGAAACCCAGTATCCGGATCATTCGGTACTATCGGCCATCTGTTGTACAGAGTGTCGTGCCGCTGTCCATCGTCGAACATTCGTAGTACATCTTCACGATTCTCAAAGCAGTTGATGTCGAATGTTGCGTTGGCCAAGCTTTCGATCAGCTTCATCAACCTCAAATCAAATTGCTGTGTGACGGCAAAGTTGTGGTCGATGGGGATCGCAGCTTCTTGCGGCAGTTCGTCAATTGCGAAGGGGAAAGGCTTCGGAAGTTCATTCCCGTATCCATCTTGAGGGACCTCCCGATACTCGGGTTCGCCTTCAGCTTCGTCCGGTCGTTCCTTCAAAATGATAGGAACTTCCTCCTCCTCCTCTCCTTCGGATTCCTCGATATCAATGACCTCTTCGGCCGTCTTGCGTGCTTTCTTGATGACTTCATCGATGTTTGCACCTGCAGCAGAGGTTGTTTCACCGGAAGAACTGGCTGGGACATCTTTCGGAGGTGATCGTTGATTGCGGTCCCTTGTTTCCTTGGGTACCACATGTGTGAGCTTCCCATTCGCGATCAAAACTGCTACGCAGTGTGGACATATCGTCAATCGCACATCGACTTCGCCAAGACAGTTGGGACACGGCCTTGAATCGTAGTCTTTCATCGCTCGGCGATACACGATCTCCTCGAAGAGTTCCTGCCACTCGGTGTTGTCATACTCTGGGTAGACACCACTCTCCTCGATCATACCCAACATCTTTGAGATTTTGGCGTCGTCCTCGGAGTAGGTATCGTCCAGAACCTCAACCGCCAAGCTCTCCAGCTTTTGAAAGCGTGGAATCATGATCGGGTTTCCGTACTTGGATTCCAGAACAAGGTAGCTTCCAGGGTCGGGTTCTCCATTGAGTAACCGGATCCATTCGATCTTCTCATGCTGCCCGGGTTCCGCATTGTCGCATTGCAACCATGCCCCTTTAACCTCATCGAAGGGAACGACGTTCTCAACCAGTAGAGAGCCAGTCGCTGAAATGAGAAGTCCGTACTCCTGCAGCTTCCACACCGGAATGTAGAGAACCACTGGGCGATCACTCAATGCGACTTTGCGACCCAGCCAAGGTTTGCCCTTGTAGCCCTGCTCCCAGGCCCATGGCGGAAAACATGTGAAGTGGATAGAATCCCTTCCCGATGAACCGAGACCTCCCGGCACCAGCCCTCGTCGCATGATTGAAGTCAGTGCTCCGAGATTGGTTGCGTGAAATGCAGTCACCATAGATAGGGCCATGTCGTTGGTCATTCTCGATCCAATGTGGTCGATGTCAATGGTAACGTCATAACCTCCGCCGTCCGTTGAGTGTGCCGAGGTTGCTCTCACAGCCACGGGAAAGCACCATCCATCGCTATGGTGGAGTCTTCCTTTGGAGATTCCCATGTCCTTGAGTTCGTTGATCCATCCCTTCTCCATCGGGTCATCAGGCTCATTGAGTTCATCAGGATGAACGCGGACCGCCAACATTTGGAATCTGACCCTCTTGGTAATGCGGAAACACTCATAGTTCTGGTCGAAGAACTTCTCCAAACGTGCCTTCTTGGTCACGATATCTATGTTGCCATAGTGATAACCGTCTTCCCAAACTGTATTGTCACCTAGCAGGTCTTCCCATGACACCCATGCACCTTCATCGCATTTGATTGGTGCGAGTCTTCCTCCTGTCCTGAACTGACGTCCAATTCGATGTCTCAACTTCGCTCCCAATCGACGACTCAGGGCCTGGCTCGCTTGGCTGTATTCAGGTACTCGACAGTCTGGAGTCGGATACTTGTGGTTGCCATAGTCGGAGTTCGTTGCAGCGAAAGTGACTCCGTTGATCGGTACTAGTTCAACTTTCCCGACCATCGTCATGGGGTCGATCGGCTTGTATCCCTTCTCCCTCCGTGTTGGTAGGGGGTAGAAGTGATGACATGCCTTTGGTGTGAGGGAACTGGAGTGCACAAATGCCTTCTCGACAAACTCATACACTTGTTTCATATCCTTAGGGCCTGCTTCCACAAGCTTCCGCCCATTGTAGGAATGTAGTCCTCCTTCGACTCCATCAGCACTTTCGATCAAGGTGAATCCATCATGGTCGAACATTGTCACGACTCTTGCTTTCAACATTTCTTTGCGCTTGAACTCGCTGTCGACCTTTCTTTCTGGAGTGGGCGACGCTCTCTGCTTCTTCTTCTTGGGCTGTTCGGTTGGATGTCCTGATGGTACATCGTCGGGTGCAACCTCTCCCTTCACTCTCTTCTTCCAATCACTCAACACCGAGGTGACTGTAGGTGAGGATGAAAGGGTCTTCTTGCAATCGAGAGTGGTGTGCCCCGACTCCATGCAATGGATGCAGAATTCTGCCCGCCCTATCTTCTTCTCAAATTCATCGATGGCGTGCAGTATTGATGCTTTCGGGTCGGACATGTCAACATCTTGCTCCTCCTTCTCCTGTGTGCCTTCAGTCTCCATATCGACACCATCGGTCTCCATATCGACACCTTCAGCCTCGGGCTCGCCAGTGGCTTCTGGTCCCT